CATATCCTGACTCGTTTCGACCTGCTGAACGCATCGGTGACCTCCATTTGCACCAATTCGACTTCGTTGAAATACAAAGCGAGCCGTGGAGTTTCAAAAATAGACGATTGGGCAACATAAAATTATCAATAGACTAAATTGTCAAGATGTAGGATATTCTTGTCCATATCCTTGTTAGCCTTGTTTCAAAGTATTTTGGCCCAAGAAAATATTTTTAAGACAAAATATGTTTTAAAAATAGCATAAAATATCCTAATGAGCTCATAATGAACTGAATTAAGGTTTTAACATATATTTTCTTAAAATAATATGTTTTAAGAACCGGTAAACCCACTAATAGCCTAGATATTAGGATATGGATATCGTATCCTTAGGGGCATGACTCGAAATCCATACGGGCCACTACGGTGGTGTTTGGCCTTGCATTAGTCGTAAGTTTTTTTATCATTAAATTACTTGTTGGTTACCTGAAATTTGAAATTTAAGTTTATTTACCTTTCAGTAAAAATGTTGTTTGGTTCCAAATGATTCTTTCGAGCCTGTATTTTCATTATTTATTCAGTTTTTATAAATTATATCCTACTGGACATTTCGTTCACTTTTCCTCTATTTTTAATGTTTTAAACCCCCCTCCAGAGTTAGCGATTTAGATTTACAGCATGACAAGTAAATGCTAATGGATTGAAGCTGCGAGATTCGAAACGGTACGTTTATTTCAGATGTACAATTTTAATTCTAAAATGTACTGTATTTCTGTATATAAGCTGTATTGGTCGACATTGTTCTAAAATTGTATTATTTTAAACTTTATGAACTGTTTTAAATATTGTTTATAAAAGAAAGACTTCAGAGCAGTATATTTTAATATCTATTTTGGTATTTATATATTTTATTTTATTTTCATGAATTTTTCTTAATTAATCCAATTCCATTAAGTTAAATTTTAAATTAAACCTGGGATCGTGACAATATCTCTCTTATATGTATGGACATTGGTGGAAATTTTGAGGATATTTGTGTAGAAATATATCAACGTAACTGAACCATTAACATTATATATCCTGCGTACCTAAATAGGAAAAGTTTTGCCCAACGTAGGCAGAAATTAACAATACATAAGACATTATTATAAACCTGCGGCAAGAAGGGCGAATGATATGGCCTATCGATCATAAGCCTGGCAGATATATAATAGTAATCTTAATCTGTCATTCATTATCCGTTTTCCGCATGTCAAAGGTCCTCAAAGGTCCTCACTTACACCAATTACTTGGAAAATCCAGGCCTAAATTAAAGGGTTAATCTTAAAACCTTCTTATTTATATCAGCTTAAACTTATAATAGTTATATATATCACTACCAATATCATGATTAGCAATGACGACTTTTTTAGAATACAAAGACAATTAAAGGAACGGTTAATGAATCAGGAATTCAAGCCATAGAAAATAAAACATAAGCAAAAATAGCATCTTAATAGCTAGTAGGATAGTACATGATTATACTCAAACATATATATATATATATTTATATATGTATGTATATATTAGAAAAATAATATAACTGTCTCTAACTTCTTTTAACCACCAATACCATTCCCTCCAATTCCAAACAATCCTCAGCCTCTTTTTTGCGAGACAGTACCTTGATAGATTTGTTGTGAACCACACGCCTCATCGTCATTCTAAATTTAGTCAAACCATCTTAAAGCTTTATATGCAAACATGTTCTCCATTAATCTTCTCGTTAGCATCGGGCTCTTGCCCCCATTTAATCCATCTTCCTCGAGAAACACACAGAAAAAAACAAGTTAAAAGAAAGAAAAGTACCCAATTAGAAACAATTAAAAGATATAATGGGTGGTTTTAATAATGCAATTGTTGTAGGACTAGTGATTTCTCTAGTAGCTTGTCATGTGAACCTAAGCAATGGCCATGGCGGGAATGAGAATAACCACGGCAGCCTGTTGTTCTCAGCGGCAGCGCAGGTTTTCTGCGGGCCCAGCAGTTACAAGGAAGCCTGCATACGGAGTTTAGGGTCTATATCCAACAAGCCGAGCGTTACTCCAAAAGACCTCATCCATGCCACTATTCAATCCATCATCACACATGTCAGCGGAGCGCTACACATGTCAGGCAGCATTGCCGCCAATTCCTCGAGCTCCCACAAAATGTGGATGGAGGACTGCAAGGACTTGCTGCAATTCGCGGTGGACGAGCTTCACTCTTGCTTTTCTGTGGTTGAAGAGACCCATTTGAAGTCCATACATGAAAGGCAAGCTGAGCTCCTCAACTGGCTGAGCGCCGTTGTCTCATACCAACACACTTGCCTTGATGGCATCTTTGATTCTGATCTCAAGAATAAGATGTTGTCTACTGGCCTGGATAGCGCAAACCAGCTCGCTAGCAACACGCTCGCCATCATCACTTCCATGTCCTCGATCTTTAGTGCCTTCAAAATCCCTTTTAAGATCGGATCTGGTGGCATTGGTGGTCATAGTGGTGGTCTCAATCTTGATCTTGGTTACGGCTTCTCTTCTCATTTTGGTCTAGACGGCGGCCTGCGTAATGCTCTAAGTGGAAGCCCTGCCACACCTTCCTCCGAACCACTTGAGGAGACATCCAAAGAAGAGACTAGTACTAATGCTGGTACTGGCTATAAATATCCACCATGGTTTTCTTCTTCAGACAGAAAGCTATTTGAATCCGACAATGACGCCAACAGTTATTTGACTCCGAATGCAATTGTGGCCAAGGATGGGAGTGGAAACTTTAAAACCATTGGTGAGGCTCTGGCTGCCTACCCCAAGGACAAAAAGGGTAAGGGAAGGTATGTTATTTATGTCAAGGCCGGGATATACCGGGAATATCTTGCTGTCACAAAGGATCAAGTCAATGTATTCATGTATGGAGATGGACCCCGGAAGACGATCATCACCGGTAGCAAGAACTTCCGCGATGGCGTCTCCACATTCAGGACTGCCACATTCTGTGAGTTTGTTTTTTCATTTCAAATCAGAAAATTACACAGTCCTTCCCCCGTTTAAAGTATATAATATTCAACTTTTCGTTCTTGGTAACGACAAAAGAAAATCTGACCCTCAAAAATTCCACCCCTATTGTGAGATTCAATTTAGTGCAGAACTATAGATAAGATAATTACCTTCAAATAAGGGTAGGAGGAATAGTTGAGAAAAGGAAAATATGTCAAGATAAACTTGGCATCTTGTCTAATCCTACGGCAATTAGTTATGTAGTTAACTAAAACTAAAAGGTGCTAAAAAGGAGAAATTTCAATTCTTTTCTTCGTCTATTCAACCTCATTTGTATGCATATGTTTGTGCAGCCGCTATTGGAGAAAGGTTTGTAGCCAAGTCAATAGGATTTCAGAACAGGGCAGGACCAGAGGGACACCAAGCAGTGGCGCTACGAGTTCAGTCAGACATGTCGGCCTTCTATCACTGTAGAATAGATGGCTATCAAGATACGTTATATGTGCAAACCCATCGCCAGTTCTACCGCAACTGCATCATATCGGGCACAGTAGACTTCATCTTTGGCGACGCTGCAGTGGTCATCCAAAATTCTCTGATCATCATAAGAAAGCCGGGGCCCGGGCAGAAGAACGCAGTGACCGCTCAAGGTAGAGTTGACAAGCATCAGACAACGGGCATAGTAATCCAGAATTGCAGGATTGTGCCGGAACAAAAACTCTTTGAGGAGAGATTGAAGGTGCCGACATACTTGGGAAGGCCGTGGAAGCAGTACTCGAGGACGGTGATAATGGAGTCGACAATTGACGACTTGATCAAGCCGGTAGGTTGGCTGGAATGGGATGGGGAATTTGCGCTGGACACATTGTACTACGCGGAGTATGCAAACAGAGGCGCAGGAGCGGCGACGGAGCAGAGGGTGAAGTGGAAGGGATACAAGGTGATCAGAGACAGAAACGAGGCCCTCCAATTCACGGCGGCTAACTTTATTCAAGGAGACGTGTGGTTGAAAAACACCGGGGCACCCTACTTCCTCGGCTTCAAACACGTCAAGTGACTGGACTTGTTTGAAGTGAGTGCATTTAAGTACAAGTATACGTATGCATGTATGTACGTATATGTCTGACTCCGAGGATAGAGAGGATGGATGTCGTGTCCATATTCCCTCCCCACCTCGCCCTTTCGGTTTCCCTGAATGCTCGAATATTCCTTTTTCCTCCCTCTTTCTTCAGACTTGAGCTCTTGGATTATACATCTTCATCCTTTGTTTCGTCTTCCAAGTTCCAATATATAATATCCAAAGTGCCGCAGGCTCCTCTGATAGTATTCCTCAAATATAATGTACTCATCAAATATCTAGCTATCTACATATCTGAACTATTATGCCAGATATTTGTGTTTTATTTGGTTGGTAATGGATTGATCAAGTGCACATCTTGCAATGCAGTCATTGAATAAGACTATTTTTAATGCATTTGTTACTCTTTTAAGTTACACAAACACGCAGAGAAAAAGACTAGAGTTTGGAATGGGAAAGTGGAAAACAAAAGAATACTAAGTTAGCAGACAAATATTTCAAACAGTTGGACTGCATTTCAATTGCATTCATAAATCGAATCCTACCAAAACAAGTAAGGGGGGAAAGATCACGGATTTATATTTGGACAGATTTTCATTGCTCTTTATCCATAAAGATTTAAATATTTAAAGCAGCAAAAACAAAAAACAAAAACAAAAAAGATTATGGGCAAAGAGTAGAGAAACATACCTGGGGGCTCACACTCAAAGCTCAAAAAGGCAAAGCTTTCCGTTTTCTCAACTCAAGACTCGCACTCAAAATACTCACCCATTACTCGGAGGAGAAAATGGAAACGCGAGTAATTCGTTTATTTTAACCCTTTTTTTATTTTTAAAAAAAGTATCTTATAGAGAAAAATAAGAAAGAACATTATATCTTGCCTTGCTTATTATATTGGCCAATCACCATCCGTTCGGAGCGAGTAATGTTTTCCCGACGTTTCTCATTTCCCAATCACCATCCGTTCTGTATGTATTCTAGTTTAGGTAGAGTTTGATCCCCACGCCCAATTTATGTGAAAAAAAAAAGAGTATAGAATTAAGATTTAGAATCAGAATAAGATTGAGGATTTACAATTTAATAGAATATGGATCTGTTTTTTTTTTTTTTTTTTTTTTGAAAAAATTTCATATTGCTATAATGTGTTATAACTTAATTGTCTTTTAATATTTTGTATTTTTAATATTTTAAATTAATATATTGACATTTTAAAAAATTATTTTTAATACTCTAAGATCATTTATTAAATTTATCATTCTCATTATTTTGTCAAAAATTAATAAATTTCAAAAAATTTTAAAAAATATTATTTTAATTTAAAACATTATTTTTATTTTTAAATGTCTAAAAAAACTTTGAGAATTTTTTTAAATTTATTATTAGTTTTTTAATTAATTAATGAGAAGAATAACTTTAACATTTTAATCCTAAAAATAATTTTAAGGTATTAAAATGATTTTTAAAATGTAAAAATATTAATTTAAAATTATTAAAAATATAGAATACTAAAAAATAATTATGTTAAAATATAAAATACCAATATGAAATTTCCCTTTTTTTAATTAGAGTTAGGATTAGGATTAGGATTAGGATTATGATATACAGTATATGAGTGTGTGTGTCTTGTGACGACGACTACGAGAAGGAAGATCTAAGAGACAAAATAGGTTCCTAGTGGAGTTAAACTGTAACTCTGAAGTTGAGTTAAAGCTAGGTGCGTGCTTACGTGGCACTCCATCTTCCACTAGTTAAACAAGTTAATTTAGTTCGACTTGCTGAAAAAAAAAAAAAAAAAAAAAAAGGGGGGAAAAGGAAGGGGAGAGAGAGAGAGAGAGAGATGGCAGAAATGGCGAGGGTGAGGGCATTAGCGCCTCATCATCTTGTTCATGATGATAGAAATAACACTAATTCCATTTCTACTAGTTGTATACCAAATTCATTCTTCATAATCCCAATCGCCACTAAATACGGCAGCAGCAGCAGAAGAAGAAGAAGAAGAAGAATCTGTTGCAAATATGAGATTAGCAAAACGCCGTCGTTGGAGCTGGAGCAGGCTGGGGAAGGAGGGAAGATGGTGGTGGAGCTGGTCGGAGCATTCAACCACATCACCCACCGCATGAGCACGACCACTTCAGATACTCCATCAACTTCTTCTTCAATCATTCTCTTCAACGCTCTCAAGCTCTCTCTCCCTCTCCTCCACTCCCTCTCCAATGAACATAACAGCAATAGGTCCCTTCGCCGCTCCCCTCTGGCCTCTGCCTTCTCTGTGGCTTTGCTCCTCGCCGACCTCCGCATGGACGCCGAGGTCATCTCCGCCGCCCTCCTCTTCCCCGCGGTGGCTGCCTCCGCCATCTCTCTCCCTGATGTCCGGCGTCGCCTCCACTCCCCTGCCACCGCCCACCTCCTCCACGACTCCCTCCGCCTCTCCACCTCCCCTCTTCTCCACAAACATGAACATTTTGAATTTGACGGTGACGGTGATGGTGATGACTCTTCCTCCGCCGCACTCCGCAAGTTCTACTTGAAGCACTTCGACAGTCGAGCTCTGGTTCTCCATCTCGCTCTTAAGCTCGACTCCATGCGTCACCTCCATTACCTCCCTCGCTACAACCAGCAACTCCTCTCCCTCCAGGTACTTTACAAATCCAATATTCCTTCTTCTTAATTAATCAATTAAAGTGCCAGCCTGACTTTGACTCTTTCTTCCCTCCCTCCAGGTTCTCAGGATTTACGCTCCTCTGGCCCATGCCTTGTCCCTTCCATTGTTGTCCCTGGAGCTTGAGGATCTCGCCTTCCGCTCCCTCTTCCCTTACTCCTATCTCTACCTCGAGGCCTGGTTGAGGAGCCACGACACTCTTGATGATGATGATGATGGTGGTGGTGATGGTGATGGTGGTGATCAGAAACGACCTCTCATCCAAGTTTTCAAGGAAGAATTGCTTCACTCTCTTAAATCCGATCCCTTGATGTCGGCCTTGGTCGATGACATCTCCGTCCAAGGCCGCTACAAGAGCCGTTATAGCACTATGAGGAAGATCCTCAGAGACGGCCGCCGGCCTGACCAGGTCTACGATGTTCTCGGGTTGCGAGTGGTGTTGAGGCCAAGGGACCAACAATACAATGACAATGACAATGACAATGACAATGATAAGAATGATAATGATGATGGTGATGCTGGGGAGAGAGCCTGCTACCGAGTAGGTGAGATCGTCCGGTCTCTGTGGAAGGAAGTGCCTCACCGGACGAAGGACTACATTGCCAACCCCAAACTCAATGGATACAGGAGTCTCCACATGGCTGTTGATGTGAGCGAAAATGGCAGGAGGAGACCTCTCATGGAGATTCAGATAAGGACCGAAAAGATGGACTTGCTCGCCGTTGGTGGCACCGCCTCCCACTCCTTGTACAAGGCCGGCCTCACTGATCCACAAGAGGTGCCTTTCTAATACTATCTTCATTCCCATGCTTGTTGATTGTGTTGGATGATTCTAAACATTCAAAAATAAATGGATTTGCTTTATCTACACATGGCCATAGTTATCCTAAGCACATTGCTTAGACTTGGCAGTTTTCGATTGCTTCTATGTTTCTGAAAGAAACACAACGTTTACATTAAGTAAAAACGGACCAAGTGTCTTGTTGTACGATTCCGGATTGTCCCAACTTGTAATTTCGTATCTTCTCCTTTTTGTTTTGTTTTTTTTTTTTTTTTAATTTTGGTGGTTATTCTGCTATGTTACTCTAAAGATTCATAGTTTGGCCAATTAGATTTAGAATGAGATACACTTTGGATCTTCTAGCTAGCCTATTCCTTATGAAGAGCCGGCCATATACACGATAGAAATTACTTTATGGAGTCTGATAATGCTAATGTGTCGGAATTCAGGCAAAAAGGCTGAAGGCCATAATGGTGGCTGCGGCTGAACTTGCAGCGCTGCGTCTTCAGGATCTCCCATCCACCACTAGTCACAAAGGTATTGAAATCGACAGGAGAGACAGAGTATTCCGCCTTCTCGACAAGAACGGAGACGGTAGGATCAGCATTGAGGAACTCATGGAAGTGATGGAGGAGCTTGGTGCTCCTGGGGAAGATGCGCGTGAGATGATGCAGCTCCTCGATTCCAATAGCGACGGTTCTCTTAGTTCTGAAGAATTCGACTTGTTTCAGAAACAGGTGAAGATTCCTACAAGTCATTGATTGATGTGTTTCTTAATGGAAGTAACCATGGCAAAATAAAATCACCAAGTAATTTTCTTTTGTTGTGTACTTGTGTCGTAGGTTGACTTTATACGCAATTTAGAAGACAGAGATGATCAGTACAAGATGATGCTGAATGAGAAGCTTCAAATTGCAGAAAATAGTGGCTCCGTTCAGGTATATACTGAAGGGCCTGGGAGTAGCCTTGGAAACAACTAGAATTGCTTCCATTTGTTTGAAACATATCTATACATCTATATATAACAGAGCTGGATATAGAAAACTACTCACAGATTGAAAACATCAAAACTTTCAATCTAAACTTCAAAGGACTTACAATTTATTCTGGGATTCCACTACGGGAAGTTGTTCTACAGAGTTGTTCTTACAATATAATCTTTACAAATGTTTTTCTGGAAGTGGGAGAAGAGGAATGATTACAAAAGAAAAGAAAGGAAAAGAAAAGATGGGAGGTTACGTGGGTGGAGAGAAGTAGAGGAGAGAAGAAGTGTTGTGTAGAAGTGTTCCTCTCTCTCTCTCTCTCTACATATATATATGCTTTGAAGGCTTACCATTACCATTGGTCCATTACCATCCATTACCATTACCATTACCAACAGGTGTATCCTAATGTACCTGTAATTAAACTCAGCATTTTTTTTTATGCTGTATATGATGTTTTTTACTAGTTTAACTTCATTTCTTCTGTAGCTGCCCTATGTTTCTGACCCTTTTTTATAAGTTTAGAAAAAGCCCTACTCTTATTTCCTAAACAAGGGGACAAGTTTCTGTAAGTAGCAGCCATTTGACAGAGATTATTATTGTTTTGTTGTTCAGTGTATTTAGAGTGTATCTTTAGATTGAAGATTGTTCTGTACTATCTCGAGACAAATGAAATTGCTCGACAAAATTTGCGTGTTACATAAATCAGCAAATGCATTGTCCTACGAATGTTTTATTCCAACCTTTAATTTCAAGATTGAAGTTTTTTCCCGGTATTTCCTTCTTTTTTTTTTTTTTTTTCATGGCAACCGGAATTCCATTCCATTGCCAATCATAACGGCATTTTTGTCCTCTTGGTATTTTATCACCATTTCACTCGTAGTACCCTTTTTTCCTTTTTTTTTTGGAATAACCTAGTATGGTCTTCTAAGTTCATAGTTCCTCCTTTTACATTATCAGTCATCCAATTATTTAATTCTGTAACAAAGATAGTGTTCAATGTACACCAGCGAAAATAAACAAATAAATAAATACTTATTGAGATGCGGTGATGAATTTAATAACAGAGAGAGAAGTAATAAACCAAGAAGAAAAAGCGTATACACTGCCTTTCTACTCTATACAACCCTTGCCACTGCAACCCTTCGATTCTTCACTATTTTTCGTGTGGCATTAATATGTTTTATATATGCCTAATGTAGTAATCCCAGAATAAACCAAATAATACACTTTAAAAAAAAAAGAAAAAAGAATCAATTTAAAGGAGCTGAATTTCTATAGTACGAGGAGTATATCCAGTATTCCTTTGACTTGAGAAAAGGCTGCAAAAGCTCAAACTTGTGTGGTTAACAGCTCTTGGCTTGAGGGAACACCCAAGTCATTGGATAGCCTCTTACACAACTGCACAAACCAAGACTTGGTTTAAGTAAGTATCTCAAATCTTCAAATCTAAAAACACGCACACACACAACACAGAGTGATAGAGAGACGAGTTGTTTACCTGTCTGTAAACCGACGCATCTCCATATGATTTCCTTAATTCAACTACATACAAAGAATGGCTAATCTCGAACACCTGTCGCAATTTTCGAGATGATTGATCAGTTTGTTTAAGTTAAAATTTGTCGATAAAAAGGCCCTTGTGAAATTAACAAATATTATGTATTGTAGCTTGATAAAAAATAAATAAAGAATAATAATATTTTTTTAAAAAAACAAACAAACAGTTGCCATACTTGTCAAATGCATTCATTCTATGAAGAAAATTATCAAAATGACATACCTCCGCCGCAACGGAGAGACTACCAGGACTTTTTTGCCCCTTGTGCTCTTGCGTCACTTTCAACTGAAAAATAGAAAGACCAAAACATGTCAATGTCTCCGCTTGGTATCTGAAATTGTGCATTTTAGGTTTAGTTTCTGCGCATATATGCAAATACTAACCCTTCCATTTTTCTTTTGAACACAAAACCCCATCTCCGTTACAATCTCCTCAATCCTCTCGATCAACTCTTTTGCAGAATGGTTGGATGTGAACCTGATCTTTCTCTCGGAAACATCCTGAATTACAGCATAGAGATAAGTGTAGGTATTCAGTGACAAATCGTACTTAACTTCAATAAGAAAGAAAGCAAAATACAAAGCACCACTCTCACCTCCTTCTCAAAGAAACCTGAGAGGTCTAGGCATGAGGACATTCCAATCAGTTGAAAGGCATTGATTAGTACAGGCGAGTCTGAATTCTTCTCCGCTTCTTCGGGTACCACTTCATGAAGTGAGAAGGCGTTATCGCCAATGTTGTTGATATCTTCTTCCTCCTCGGGGTTTGCAGGAATGTAACCCTGCTTAAACCAATCGTCCGATTTGATGTCTGCCATTGTTATCCGCTTCACGGGGTTGGGATCCAGAATTCTCCTTATCATGTTCTGCGCGCCAGGTGAGAGCCATTTTGGTATCTGAGTATCTCCCTTCAATATCTGAAATCGCTCAAAAAAATAAATAAATAAATAAATAATAAGAAAGAACTTCTTTGATTAAGGTAAGGAAAATCGAATACAACTTTCTCATTACCTTTTGATAGAGAACTGCGAGATTTCTATCGTCAAATGGAAGATATCCTGTAAGAATTACATACAATATGACACCGCACGACCATATATCCGAGGCGGCACCGTCATATCCTCTGTTCACGAGGATCTCTGGAGCAACATAGTTGGGACTTCCACAAGTTGTATGCAATAAACCATCATCCTAAAATGGTACAACAAAGTAAGTTAACACAAGATTTACCACTTGCAAAGCTCTTTTTTTTTTCTTGGTTTGAAATTGCAGTATAAATACTCTGAAATGCTGCGGCAATGCACTGAGGCCAAAGTCAGAAATCTTTATGTTCCCTTTAGCGTCAACAAGAACATTCTCAAGCTGCATTAATGAAAAGGATCAAACATTTGTAAGAGATGAACCAGAAAATCTTGGAATAGATTTGTCCGACTCAAATGGCATAGCAAAATTCTCGGAAAGGACAAGCAAGAGAGAAAAAAAAAAAAAAAAAAAAAAAAAAAAAAAAAAAAAAAAAAAAAAAACCTTGAGATCGCGATGGAAGACACCCTTATTATGGCAGCAGCTCACGCCATCAATCAACTGTTGGAAGAGCTTCCTGCCTTGAGCTTCTGTTAGCTTGCCCTTAGATGCCTATACATATAATAATATTAGGACAATTTAACTATTTTCAGTCACATTCTTGATCTCAAAGAATTGAAGGGACAACTTTGCAAGTTGAGTGGAAAAATCTGCTTACAATTCTATCAAAGAGTTCTCCACCGGTGACGTATTCTAAGACCATGTAAATCTTGGTTTTGCTTGCCAAAACCTGCAGAGTTGCCACCACAATGGGACGCCATTTATGTTTATGAGAACATAAATAAAATCTTAAAGAAGATAGAAGCATCGATGAGCTAAAGCATATTCTAGCATGGATTATAGAATCTAGCTAGCAATGGTACTTGTTGAGCACGAGAAGATTTTTAAATATCGATTAAATCACGTAAATAAATTTAACTTTTAACTCATTTTACCAGTACCAACATAAAAAGAGAATTCAAATGAGAATATTTGTATACAATATTACTTATCAATATTGGTAATGCAACTTTATATGGGGTAGTGCATTGAAACAATCATACGATACAAGAATGTCGTTGAATTCATTATTTTTACCTTTTGTCCACGTTTTATTACATATTATCATACGCGTATACTAAAGATTCTTTTTTTTTTCCTTTTTCTTGAAATTTACATAAGACTTGAGAGGACGGGGGGCGCCGTAATTGAAGGCCAGAGGACAAAGATGGGCCCCCGGTGAAGAATGAAAGAGGAAGGAAAGAAAAGAAGAACATGCCACGTAATATAGATATAGAAGAGCATCTCCGTGGATTTTAGGTCTCGTTCACTTTGTATATTCGAATTTTTAATTTAAATAGAGATGTGATATTTTTTAAGAGTTTTTCACTGTAACAAAAAAAATTAGATGTGATATTTTTTGAGAACTTTTTACTATAAAAATTTAAAATTAAAAATTCAAATCGGTGAAATGAACGATGCTTTATTCTTATCCAAGCAAGTCCCGGGCCCTTTGTCAGCTGAGAGGTGAGAGGTGGGCCATCCAATTCCACGCATTAAGATGGTCCCCTCATTTATGGTGTTTTTTACACATCATGTACACATACAAACACATAAGTTTATGTTACCATGTGTGCTAACGCCGTGTCTAAGCTTGGCCGGTTACTCGTGCATTGAAAATAAATAAATAAATAAAAATAAAAAACGTGCAAGTGTGGGAAGGAGGAACGGAAATGCTAAATTCAAAGCTGACTTGTTCTGACGACTTCAAATTTGTGTTGAACGAGGATGAACCACTAGAAATTTGGTGGATATTTGGTTAGTGATGCGTACAATGATAAAACAAAATAAAATAACAAAAATAATTTAAAAAAAGGTGGGGAGGGTTAAAATGATTGGTAAAAGCCAAAAACAGTGAACATGTCATCACCCACCCAAATTGACAAGCAGAGTCCAGATTCCACAATCCACATGGAATAACGACTCTCTCCCCCTCCCTCCCTAATCTAATCATCTATCTATCCAGTATTCAGTATTCAGTATTCTGCGCTGCCAAATTGAAATTATATTAATGCTATGTTGGAATTTCACTAGACTTTCCCACCAATTCATTAATCATTAATCAAGGGATCAAAACACAAACTGAATTAAATATATGGCCTTTAAATTTGGCCAATCCACAAATTCATCCAAACCCAGGAACAAAAATAAGATAATTGCAATCAGTCGGATTTCCATACGAATTTATTATAAGCTACTATCTTATTTTTCTTTTTTCTCTTTCCTTGAAACAAATTCTGAAGTGAAGATGAAAAGGAAGAGAAAAAGATAGAACATTGGTAGGTAGGTTACCTCATGTAATCTGACGATATTAGGATGTTTGAGGAGCTTGAGAGTGCCAATCTCTCTCTTAATCTGCAAAATTGTTTTGACTGATTATTATTAATTGTTGTTATTTAAAAGAGAAAAAAAAAAAGATGGGAAGAAATAATTAGATCTGCATGTTTCATGATGTGTGTGATATGATCAGAATAATATCATGAAAATTACAAAAAAAAAAAAAAAAAAAAAAAGGGGGAAGGAATAATTGGAATTGATATGGAAATATAGCAATATATAGGGCGATACCTGATCGGTGATGTTGAGACTGATGATTCTGTTCTTCTCGATGATCTTAACGGCGTAAGGCTTTCCAGATTGAATGTCCTGAGCGAGCTTCACTTTCCCGAAGTTTCCTTCTCCAAGGGTCCTTCCCACCTGATATTTCCCCAGTTGCATTCCCTGTATGGTTTTCTTCTTCTGCACCCCCGGATCTTCTTCTTCCTCCTTCTTGGTGATCCTATTATTATTTCTAATACTCAAAGTCACCATCGACAAATACAATATAGATATATACCGATTTATTTCTCTTCCGAATTTCGATAATACTTGATTTGTTCGGATAATATATATTTGTGTTGAGTTACGTGCTGGGTTGAATATTGGATTCCAATGAAACCCAAAAGCGTAACGAAATTACAAAACACGAACTAGTCTCTGCGAGAGGGAGATATATATATATATATATATAAACACATATAATATAACACAGAGTGAGAGAGAGAGAGAGAGAGACGTGTAATTTGTAAATGTAAAAGTAAGTAATAATATGTTTATGTGTGTATAAATAAGTAAATGTAGAACCAAAGAAGAGGAAGATTTGAAACGTTTGAAGGAAGCAAACGAATCAAACAAACTCTGAACAGTCAAACACCTCTCTCTCTTTCTCTCCCACCCTCCTTTGCCTCTCTTTCCTCTCTCTTCCTCTCTCTAACTTGCTTCTTTCTTCTTCTTTTTTTTTTTTAATCGTTTTCTGCCTTTTAATTTAATTTTTTCTCGTCTCTTTATATTGTTTTTTTTTTTTTTCGTTTTTATCGCTTATCAGTACTGAGATAATAAAATCAATTCCCCCATCCACGCTGCATTTATAACCGTCTATAGTAATTAACCACTCGTTGTGCGTTACCTATTTCTTCGTCTAGATACGATATATATACCATATTTCCTTATTTTTCTTTCTTCTTCCTTATATTTTTAGGTAAAGTCTCTGGTCAGGCACTTAAAAAGTGCTGACCAGAACGGCAGTTGTACAATTTAAAGATTTTTTGTACATTTACATATAAAAGTTGTATAATTCAGTATAAGTCTTGTATATTTACATGTAAAGATATATAAGTTATACAATTCATCATATGTCTTGTATATTTACATACGGAAGTTGTACAATTCAGCATAAGTCTTGTTTATTTACAGAACGGCAGTTGTACAATGTTATTATACGAGATGGAATCCATTCCTTCTTGAGAAAGAAGTAGATAAATAATTCTCTTGAGGGTTGATTCGGTACTTAGATAAATAATTTATGTCTATATGTCATGCCCCGGGGCAGGGGTCGGTGACGTGGAGGCTCGATTAGGGACTAAGCGCGATTAAGAATAAAACATTAAGGAAATTCTCAAACGAGCCCCACATTTCACTGAAAATAAATTACTGAATACAAGAGGTTTATAACATTACAGACATCAACCACAGTCTAGAAATTCAAAGATTCAGAGTTTACATAATTTATAATTCGTACACAGGAATGATGATCGACATCCTCACCAAATCTGGTGGTAGCAACTAACTCAGCTACTCCGTGCTGCTCCTAGAGTCGCCTGGGAGGGGTTAATATTTATAAAATAAAGAAAACGTGAGCGAAAGGCCCAGTAGGATATATTTTGAAATAATTTTATAAATAAGTAAATAAATGTGCAAACAAACAAATAAATAAATAAGTAACTAAATAAATATAGATATTTAGTTTCAACACAATAGCCGGAACCTCACATCTTTTTTCTCAAAGGAAATATAATTAAAAATCTCTATATTACAGGCATCAGCAAGTAATTTATACTATGATAAATTACTTCCACAACCACATGCACAAGCCATATCACCCCGGGCCGGGTTTCGGGTCCTGCCCCCAAGGATGCACTCTCCACATCCTATCTAGGTCATCAGCCGGTTTACCGATTTGCAAGATCTCTTATCTTAAGAAATCATTCATTAAACTTTATGAAACATTTCATTATACTCCCCAGAACTACAACAAGCCATGGGGTTAAAATGTTTTTCTTTTGCAAACATGCCCTTTCTTTAAAACATTTGCAAGGCCAAAATTCTTTTGAAAACATGCTCAAAAAGGAAAGGGTAAGAAATCCGACCTCACAAGTACCAAACCTGGCTAGCGTTACACTATTCCGGCTTTCGCTTTCTTAAAGCCTCTCAATCCGAGTCCTCAGCTAGCACTGATACAAAAACACACTTTAGGATCCAATTCTCATTCCTAAAGCAATTCAATACCAATTATACACTTCGATTTCCTATTAGTGTGCCATAATTTAATTACCGGTTTCACAAATAATTTCATGTTTCAAATCATCATTCCAAGAGATTTTAATCTCAAAACATAGATTAAAGAAGCTAATCCCTTCAATCTAGGTCCCCAAATGAAGCCAATTTGGGTTCTCCTTGAAAACTAAGGTCAAAACAAGGTTTTTTTTAACAAAACATGGTCAAACCCCGTGTACACAAATCGATCGGAGTTAAGTGTCCTTATATACTGAAATTAATATTGGAGTTTATATTGCTTTAATTTAGAAAATAACATACTTATTTAAAAAATAATAATTTTAATCAAATTTAACGTCACAAACATATACTATTTCTATATCTATAACTATATTATAAATGAAAGTTCCCCTTGTATCCTATTCAAAATTTTGGTCAAGTTATTTTGTCTCATTCTTATTTCGTCTTGTTCCCCACCCCCCTCCCCCAAACACACAGACTATTTTTTAACTTCCGCCCCCCTCTTTTTTTTAACTTTTGTTGATTTTCTTTTCTCTTATTATTTCCTTTTCTTTTTCCTAACATTATACATCTTCAACTGCGTATTATAAAAATATTTTTATTCCAATTTATCCTTGTAAAAATAATTTATTTTAAGTATATTCCTAATTAAATTATTCTTTTTTAATTATTTGAAATTTTTTTATTGAAGTGACCTTCATAAAAACTTTTTTTAACTAATCACCACAGCTTTCATCAAATGATGCATGTGGGCTGGGCCATTCCCACCCAAAGGGTGGCCCGATTCGGCCTGGCCTGGTCGGGAAGAGATTCACATGGAGACTATTGCTTTCCGGGAATAGAATTCTTTCTATGTTAGCTAGCGGGGGCGGGCTTTCCTATGGTAGTCCCGCTCCCGCCTCTGACCGTCCGTCCCGTCTCATCTTGATTTGGCTATAAGCCAGCCATGTTAGCTCCACATGATAGCCTTTTTCTAAAGGCTAAAAAGGCACTCATCAGTCAGCTCGGCCCCTTTCCTATTCAGCTTTGCCGCCTATTAAGTAAGAGAATAGGTCCCGCGGCCCGCCTTTATTCATCTATACCAACTGCCACGCACGACCCGAACGATTTCAGCGCCAACTTTTCTTGATTTGCTTTTCTCTTATTTTTTTTTATTTTTCCTAACTTTATATATCTTCAACTACGTATTATCAGAATATTTTTTCCCCAATTTATCCTTGTTGTCATAATTTATTTCAAATATATTCCTAATTAAATTATTCTTTTTAATTATTTGAAAATTTTTATTAAAGTGACCTTCATAAAAACTCTTTTTTTTTTTTAACTAATCACCACAATATAATAATTTTCTCAAATGTATTCATATTTAAGTCTGTCTTTTCCTTCTCATATAAACAATTTCTACTTTTTTTGTTGTTGTGTTTGTCAAGGAAAATTTTAGGCTATATATGAGAAATAATATTTGAGAGTGTTGAAAAATAGAGAGAGAGAGTTAAGTAAGACATATTTTTATATAGCTATATTAAATACAAGTATATTTGAGAATAGATTTTTGAATAAAGTATATTAGTGAAAAAATAATGAGACACATTTAAGAAATTTAAAATATGCACTATATATATATATATATATATGAGAGTTCCTTTTTTCACTATTCAAAAATATAGTCTCTCTATTATGTCCTCGTGTTTTTTTTTTTCTTATTCTCTTCATGTTACTTAAAATTTTAAAAATATTAATTTGGTGAAGAAGATTCATTAAGTTTGTCATAAATTCTTTTATCAGATATGTTTTTGAAAGATTTTTTTCTTTCTTCTATGAAATTGATTTTCTTTTCTCACAAATCAATCCAACTAATCTATAGTATTTATTTCAATCTTTAATGCATAAAATAACCACGACATATGATAAAATAAATTATAGTTAAAACGTTAATTCATTATTTTCTCTATTTAAAATAATTCATTACTTTGTTAGTATCTATTCTTGATGAAATATTAAGAATTTATTTTCAAAATAAACAATGATTAGAATATCAAAATTGATAAATATTTATTGTCATATCTTAAAAGCACATAAATGTTTTTACTATAGTGCTCTTTTTATAACTCAAATCATAATTCAAATTTTTTTGCTGTAATATTTTTTCTCATAAAAATTTAAATTCAGCTTTTTTTATTACAATATTTTCTCTATATAAAATTTACTTTTAAATCTGAGTCTCAACTTAAGTCGTGGAAAGAACATGAGAATAATAATGTTATCCAACCTCCATAAAAAAGCCTCAAACGTGCGAAGGATGGGACATTAACTAGTATACATAAAAGGATCCGATCGATAACTTCTAAGACGCATCAATATCACATGCAGATTATTATTATTACGTTTTCTAAAAGGTGTATTTTCAGTATATTTCCACTAGTTTATCGTTTCTCCCGTCGACAATCTAACATGTTGCTATTAAAAATTATTTTTGTCCTTTAGAAAAAAGTAATATTTTATTAAATACGTCAAAATAAACTATTCTTAGAGTTAGATTGGGATAAGCAAAATGGCGTATTTTATTGGTAAAATCTATAGAAGAATGGGGGTTGAAATCCATCGTCTATAAATATTTGGATATTGGATGCTCTTATCTTCCACCTCATATTTTCTTTTCATAATTAAAAGTTAATGTGGGCTCTCTTTTTCTAATCTATATATTCTGTTTTTCTTTTTACATTTAGTTTTAATAATATTGCACCACTCAGTCGATACATACCAAAAAGATGAAAATGATTGGCCTTTCAGTTTAATCTCTATATTTTATTATTATTATTTTTTGGCTGGCCCATATCATGCACCGATCTCTTCTCTTCCACCTCCACGTACTATTTTAGTATTATATGATTTTGATTAAAAGAAAAGAAGAGAAAAGAAAATTCGTTTGCAGAAATATCAGCGGCCAATCCATATGTGCCACGTGGACATAGAATTCCCCACCACTGCAATAAGTGCACGATGGCCGGGTCGGTGTTGGAGACCGATATATCTACACACGTATTATTAACTTGTCCTTTTTTTCTTTTTTCTTTTTTTCTTTCTTTTTTTTTTTTTTGGCTTTGATGCAGTACCCCAAAAAAAAAAAAAAAAAGAGCCACTTTTACTTATATTATTTGGATTAAAGCAAATACTAAAAGCAACTTGCGGATCATATACATTTCCATGATTAATGTTGAACTATCAACTTTATACGCATACAACTTGCACTTTAAAAAAAAAGTGTCCCTTCAACATGCCATAGCGGTATTTCTTCTGTTAATTCAAATAGAGATTAGTGAGTAGTTAAATCGGGTTTATTGTCGGATTAGTTTTTTTTAATTAAGCATACCATACACAGAGCCACTCAAGTGGGAAAGGAAGTCACGTATGTTAAATATAAC